CAGCACCTCCAAATCTGAGGCCATGGTTCTCAGCAGGAAACCGATGGACTGTCCACTCCAAGTAGGGAATGAGTCCTTACCCCAAGTGAAGGAGTTCAAGTATCTCGGGGTCTTGTTCTCGAGTGAGGGAACAATGGAGCGTGAGATGGGTCGGAGAATCGGAGCAGCGGGAGCGGTACTGCAGTCGCTTTACCGCACCGTTGTGACGAAAAGGGAGCTGAGCCAGAAGGCAAAGCTCTCTGTCTACCGCGCCATTTTCGTTCCTACCCTCACCTATGGTCATGAAGGATGGGTCATGACCGAAAGAACGAGATCGCGGGTACAAGCGGCCGAGATGGGTTTTCTCCGCAGGGTGGCTGGTGTCTCCCTTAGGGATAAGGTGAGAAGTTCGGTCATCCGGGAGGGACTCGGAGTTGAACTGCTCCTCCTTCGCGTCGAAAGGAGCCAGTTGAGTTCGAATGGTGATTAATCATGATTAATTAATTTTTAAGCTGTGATTAATCTGATTAAAAATTGTAATCGTTTGACAGCCCTAGTATATATACAATAAATGCAAGCTCAAGTTAGCATCACAAAATCATGATTGTATTCAAAGATTGATTTTGAGTAGACAATACAACGTTGGTATGTATTAGAGGCCACTATTAATGTCCACACATGTATTGTTGATTGTTCATTCGTGCAAATACGTTTATTTCAGCATTAGAAATGTTTGTACATTTTTCCACATCAATCTTGCTAGACCACACAAATGCAGTTTTAGGAAGAACTTGAGGAAGACAAATGCTTGGATACTGAGTCCAGGTCATGTGATGAAGGCTGTGTTGTTTTAGGTGGAGACGCAGGGCAGCCAGGTGGAGCTCCTGAGACAGAAGAACAAGCTGCTGCTGGGCGAGAACAGACAGCTGCAGCACAAACTGGAGACAGGGGAGAGGTCAGTGGCCTATAGGATATTGAGAAATGTTTTACTATGAAATATTACGATCAATGTATCAGTAATATTCTTAGCAGATGAGGTTAAGTTTGGTTTCTAAGTGTTGCATGTTGGGCATTTTTAGGACGATCCTAAAACACAAAAAACCTCCTAATGATATGACCAGGTTAGCTGTTTATTCTACAATATAACTGTACATTTAACTGATTGTTGTTGATCTTGCAGAAACCTGGAGGAGGCTGCCAGTCAGAACTGCGAGCTGCTGGCGGTCATTTCCAAACGGGAAGACTCCATCCACAGCAATCAGCTCCGCCTGGAAGAGAAGAGCCGGGAATGTTCCATGCTGAGCCGGAAGCTGGAGGAGGCTCTGGGTGACGCTCGCCAACAGGTCTGTAGCTGAACACTGGTCAAACACAGTGTGGGATTAAAGAATACAGCAGGAGATATCATTAGTAGCTCGTAGCCTTCCCAATCGTTTCAGACTTTTGCTTTGACACAAAAGCGGTGCAGACAGATAGGTTCTTCAGCAAAAATAACAGGGTTGTGCAGCAAAAAAAAGGAAAACTGAGCACTCAGCAGCAGGGGTTTCTGCAGCTTGGGAATGTCGGGCTGATAAATGAGCCTGTATGTCTGTAAGTGCATATTGTTAGGGACATCAAATATAGGGATACATTAGGTTTAGATGTATATAGGGAAGGTGTGGCTCAGTGCGTTAGTGCGCTGATCTTTGGCTTAGGGGCGCACAGGCTCAATCCCGCTGTGTCCCCTGACACTTCACCCAAATTGGTCCTGTGGGGATTGCACACAGTATGTAAGTGGCTTTGGGTAAAAGCGTCTAACAAGTGACATGTAATGTAATGGGATGTAATGTAGTATACCCTCTGCTGAGTAATAAAGTCCCAGAGGTGGAGAAGTACTCAGCTCTACCAGATGGTACTCTGTTACTAGTCCTGCAATCAAAATGTTACTCAAGTAAAAGTAAAAGTATTAGCATCAAAATATACTTAAAGTACCAAAGTACTTATTATTTATAATATGTTTTGATTATAATTATTAATGCATTAAATAGCTATCAAAGCTGGTAAAGGTGCAGCTAACAAAAAAAAGTCTCTCAAAGTATAGTACTTGAGTAAATGTACTTAGTAACTTCCCACCTCTGTTAAGTCCAATTTATGTCTCATATTTTTTCCAGATTTCAGAAACTAGAGGACTTGCTGCCACTAAAGAACGCTCCACCCAGTCCAAGATCATCGACCTAGAGACTCACCTTAGCAGGAATACCTCCGAAATCAACCAACTGCGGCGCAGCAAAGAGGAGGTAGAGGCAGCCATTAATAGTTGATTTAAAATGTGTATGCATCAGCTGTGTCAGCAGGTCTGTAAGGTGTATTTGTCATGTTCAGGTGGAACGGCGGTACCAGAGCCGACTGCAGGATGTGAAAGATCGCCTGGAGCAGTCAGATACCACAAACCGCAGCCTGCAGAACTACGTCCAGTTCCTCAAAGCCTCCTACACCAACGTGTTCGGAGACCTGGCCCTGGGCGGCTCTCTGCGGTCCCCCTCACCCATCTGACAGCCCCTCTTAGTCTGGCTGCCAACATTGTGAAACCGGACATGTTGAGTACCCCAACATTTTATGTTGGAAATGTATAGAAGGGTCCCCAGCACATAGAATCTGCTGGATGCTAACCTGCATATGTCGGGCAATTCGCATAATTAGTATAAGTTGCATTAATTAGCATGCAGTCAATAGCTAAAAAAATGGCTGACATATTTTCTATTTTCAAATAAATAGGCAATTTGTCCAATCAAAATGATCCAGAGTCCCTTAAATCTTCAAAATCAACCCAAAATGCACCAAAATCAGCCCACAGAGAGTACAACTATTAGCTTTTCCTGGTTAAAACTGCCATTTGTTATCCTGTAAAAATGTCAGAAATGGACTCCTCAATAACCCCCAAAACCCCTCCAAAAGTACCCAACATATGCAGGTTAGCATCTGGCAGTTTCTATGTGCCTGTACTATACATTTCTAACATAAAACTTTGGGGTGCTCAACATTTCTGGGTTAACAATAGGACTCTATGAGCTGGCAGCTAGACTATCTGTCAGAGTATTGTGCACACGGTCCAAAACCGTACGGGGGTTTAAACCTCCACATCACAAGAGCTGGAGGCCATTAAGATGCTCGGTCTGTTGCCTGGTTACTTGGTTCAAACCAGGGAGGAGCAAGAGTATATATTGGCTGTTATCTAGTAGGGCTCTTAGAATGTAAGACTTATCTATGTTAAAATGTATTTAGAAATGAATTTGTAGACAATACAATTTTATCAAAGAAATTAGAAAAATCTGAAAAATAGATATTTTGTAATATCAAAGCCTTTACAAGATGTATGATTTGAAAATGTGACTTCTAGTTGTACCCCAAAATACACAGAGATAGGGCAACTTTTGAAGACTAGATTTATACTCACCTCTAACAACTTTAACTCTACTCATGCTTATTTTACCAGAAGCTTAAATCCACTAAATTCATTTCCAACACCTTTGACTTATTAAAAAAAAGGATTGTGAAAACTACAGAAAGGAGACAAGGGCTCCTCGATGTATCAGGTACAATGCAAAACACGGCAGCAGAAGGAACTGTGTGCAGCTATCATCTCCCCTCCAATTTTCATACTGAAATACTGCGGCCTGTGTACACGGTCTGTGGTGTATAAAGTCATTTGGCTACAGTCACTGGATACCTTTTGGCATCACTAAAACTAAAAAAGATGTTTTGCTTTTTAAAGGGAGAAATAAAGTCAACTTGTGTCCCTGTATTCAAATGTTGCGATACCAGGACATGCTGTGAACAACTGTGATCAGAGACAATAATAATGCAGGTTAATGTGGGTTTACAAAAGCACAGCGTGGTAAGAAAATGTTAAACTCTGACATGCTCGGGGTTTGAAGGTTCGCAGCACTTCATCTAGCTCTGCTGCTGAACATCTGATCCACCAGCACTCAGGTTCTGATCTCACTGAGGAACTAATGGAGCTTGACAGTGTTTACTCCACTGCTCTGCAAAACGAGTAGTGACATACTGAATAGAAGCTGTAGAAGTTCAGAGAGAGAGCTTATCTGATGTCATTTTGAAGACATTGTTTTGGCGGTTTTTTCAACCTATATTTCCAACAGTTTTTCACCTATTTGCCGCTGCCTTGAAGCTTTCAGATTGAATGTTTGGGTTGGATAGTATTTGAAATGCCAAAAACAATTGGAAACGGTAATTTCTTTATCAAGCCTTCACAGCATCTTTTTATGTTCAACCTCAGCTAGAAATGTTGTCTGTAATATGTCTATTACTAGAATTACCAGACTACATACTGTATTTGGACTGCTTTATACTAAAACTATGATCCGTTTTTTACATTTATACAACTCAGTAGCCAAGCCACCCATAACACGATCTGCTTATTTTAAGCGTATCTATGCTCTGTGATCAAATGGAGCTGAAAACATTGGTGCTACTGCTGTCCTTTGGCACAAGACAAGACCGTGTTTGAAAACAATATTATAGTGAACTCAATATTTGTTGTCTGGTCTTAGAGTGTATTTATCAACTGAAAAATGTACAGTATTTTCACTGGTAACGTCAATAAAACATGTTTTTATACCCGAGTCAATCTGACTGAAGCCCTTTTATCACATCCTATTTTGTATGTTTCTGATAAAGTTACAAAGAGGATACAAATGGACACTTTTTGTTCTGGGCCCATTAGCTCACTTGTCTGTGGACCAGTCCGGTCAAATAAGCTGTGAATCAATCATCACAGCTGTTATAGTGTCCTGTAGCAGCTGCTCCAATATTTACTATTAGCAGCCTCATCACAACAGTGTGTCAACGTTGACTAAAGCTTAAAAAGACTTGTTTAAATTCACAAAGTAAAAGTCAATTAAAATAAATAGCATGTAAGACATATTTGTTTAACTTAACATTAGAGTTGGAAATGGGAATGAACTATCCAAAACAATGTATCAACCAATATGAACTGATGGTGTATTGTCTGTCTGATAAACCCTGGTGGTAGTCAGCTGATTCCCTCACAGAGAGACACTGATGGCTGCAGAAAGAAAACGTTATGTTACAGTGCATTCTGCCTTAAGGAAATAGCTGAGGCGTAAGGAATAAGAACACAATGTTTCAGAATTAAATGAACACTCAGGTCTCTCTCCAATAATATGTCGTGCCCTATCTAATGTTTTCTTACAAATATATTTCTGTTCAGTTTTGAAATAAGTGTATGTCTAATTAATAATGTATTCTATATGGTCTAAAAATGTAAACCAACCCTACAGCTTAAGGTTCTGAAACTTCAACAATCGCTGATTGGTTTCAAATCCCCCATACTTGCTGAACATTTAAAGAAAAAATCATTATAATATAATCATTTTTTGTTATACTTTTTTTCGTAGCACTAAGAAATATTTGGCTTATTTGAAGCAAATGCAGTAGCAACAGATTATACGCGTCAGCTAAATTAAATGTAATGTATTGTAAAGTTGAGCATGTTCGGGTCTGAGAGCTTTCGTTCGGTATTTTTCGTTTGTTTCCGTACAGCTGCAGAGAATTACGTCACGTTTGGTTGAGAAAAAATACACCCATCCTGGAGAGCAGTCTCGCATCATCTTCGTCGATCCGCCTGGACAACCACTTCGAAAGCTCTTTCGAACAAACCGAGGTATGAAATATGTTTACATGCTCTTGAAATTAATCATTTCGAATCAGACTCATTGTACATTTGAGAGTGTGGTTTCCTAAGGACCGTTACCCTGTTTTGTTAATCGAATTTGTGTTCTCTGGCTGCTACGGGTTCGTTAGCTCGGTGGCTAAGTTTAGCTAGCTGCAAGCTTTTCTATTGTTGAATGTTTATTACAGTAAGGTAGGTAAAATTGCGATATACGACCTTCTAAGGCTGTCTCTAATGCTGTCTGAGTTTAAGATTAGCTATCTTAATGTTTATGTTAGCCATTATAATAAACGATATCGCCTGCATTGGAATCTAACATACTGCGTTGAATAGGGCTACGTGTTTATATAAAGACAACCTGGATAATTAGAAGGCTATTTTCCATATTGAAAGTGTCCTTTTAAAAATAGGAAAAGGCTGGTATATGGCATTAGGCATTACAAATGTTCACCTCAGCGAACATAACCCGAGGGTTTGTCAGGAGCTGCTAGCTTTATCAGCTACCGTTAGATAGTCTGATGACGTTTGTGACATTTTCACTAACCAACATTTATAAAACAATACTCATGTAATACGTGTTCAATCCCAGTCTGTTGATTGTGGGTTTTGAATGGATGAATGAATGAATGAATGAAATACAATTGGATTAAAAATGGCGAAGTTATGTAGGTTGCTGCATTAGCTTGTCGGCCATGTCTGAAGGGAGCCGCCCAGAGCAAAGAGTTTCGGACGCGGCAAAGCTGTCACCTCTGTTTGCTGTAACACTGTAATAGCCTTTATATTGACACTCTATGGTAATAACACACATGTGTGCTTTCGTTGGAGCATATGATCTAATGCCTCAACCGTTTATGAGACACTGATTGTGCATTGTCAGTAACCTGTGTTGAAAGAACTACTCAGATTATGTATCAGTCACTATGTAGATGAATAGCACAGTACTTCATTATACCATCATCATATCATGTGAGTACAAAGTAGCTAGTAACTGTGGGTATAGAATACATGTAGTGGAATAAAAGTAGACTAAACAGCTCTAAAATATGGTGGTTTGGAAGTCTGAAGTACCTTTTTAAATGGAAAGTAAAGTAAAACATGTCAGAAAAGTACTTAAGTAGAATATATGAGTAAATGTACTGAGTTACTTTCCACCACTTTCAGTAGCTAGCAGTGTTTATGGAGTTGACCATGCCTATGAAAACACTGGTATTTCAAAATGCACTTTACATAAAGATGATTAGTTTGCATAGATACGGTTGTGTGCCGGCTTGTGATAAAGTGGAGAAGCATTTTCACACCTCTGCAGCTGACTGTCCAGACAACTGGCTCTGTCAGGGTGGTGCCACATGCTTCACATACCAACTGGCCTCCACTTGTAAATAGAATTCAGATTGGAAGCAGCAGTATGCAGTATTCAAGATAAGGATTAAGCAGCATGGGACTGAACGGAATCACATTTTTTTGTTAAGAATCTAATTATACTATGTAAACATTGTTTTTGAGTTCCCAAGCTTATGCATGTGCTATTTCATATACATATTCAAATAATGTAAATCTGTTAAATGTTATTGTCTAGAAATGTGGCATTTCTAACAGTGTTCATAAAATGTTGTTCACAAAAAATACTTTGAGGTATATTTTGTGGGCCTAGGCCATGTCCTTGGTGGAGGGTTTTTTGACAGGCTTAGAGAGTTGCTTTGTGATTACAGCTTGTTGTTGTCCATTCGGTGATGACTGTAGTCATCGCACTGCTTCATGACTTAGCCTACATTTGTTATGTGGCTGTTACATTACATTCAAATCCAGGAAGCCCAATGGCAGAGAAATGTTAAATGACAACAACAGATAACAGGACTGATCTAGGTATTCATTAAATTCTCTTATCAGACTATAAATAGGCCTAGGCACTGGAGCCTGCCCTAATGATGCTGTGATACAGAAACGTGGAGGTAAAGTAGGACAGCACCACCTAAAATACTTCCCAGATATTCCCAGGGCAACTGATGCTTCACTGCCCCATTTTAATTGGATTGTAATACCGTCAGTTGATTGCATGCCATGAAAATTATTTTTCATTGTACAACTGCGACTCATACAATCAAATGGGGCTTTGTTTCCTTTTACATTATTGTCTCATTTTTCATTTTTGGCTTACAAACTGGACTTGGGCAACAGGAAATGAAAACGGTGATCTGTGGTTGCATGCCATGCAAAGTCGACATTACATTGCATTGCA